AACTTACAAATTTCAATTTTTTTTGTTACATAACTGCACTCAAAAACAAAACAATGTAAAATTTAGAGCCTACAAGTCCACTCAGTCCTCCTTCTTGTTCAGCCAATTGCTAAGAGAAACGAGTTTGTTTACATTTACAGGAGTTAATGCTATCCCCTTCTTATTTATAATGTCACCTGAAAGTGAGAACAGGCATTCACATAGCACTTTTGTAGCCAGCATTGCAAGGTATTTATGTGACAGATATGCTAAACATTTATATACCGCTTCATGCTTTGGCCACCATTCCAGAGGACATGCTTCCATGCTGATGATGCACACTAAAAAAATAATGTGTTAATTCAATTTGTGACTAAACTCCTTGGGGAAGAATTGTATGTCCCCTGTTCTGTGTTTTACTCACATTCTGCCATACATTTCATGTTATAGCCGTCTCGGATGGTGACCCAGCACATGTTGTTCATTGTCACTGCAGATTTGACAAAAGGCAAAGAAGGTACCAATGTGAGATTTCTAAAGATAGCACAGCACTCGACCCAAGATTTAAAAATCTGAAGTGCCTTCCAAAATCTGAGAGGGACAGGGTGAGGAGCATGCTTTCAGAAGTCTTAAAAGAGCAACACCCCAATGTGGTAATTACAGAATCTGAACCACTAAAAATGAAAATCAACCTTCTGCTGGTGGCATCTGAAAATTAATGAATTCATGAAAATTAACATGCGCCGGTCAGCACTGCTTTGGATCGTTATCAAGCATCATCATCAGCATGGACGCATGTCCTCTGGAATGGTGGTTGAAGCATGAAGGGACATATGAATCTTTAGAGCATCTGGCATGTAAATATCTTGCACTGCTGACTACAACAGTGGCATGCAAATGCCTGTTCTCACTTTCAGGTGACATTGTAAACAAGAAGTGGGCAGCATTATTTCCTGCAAATGAAAACAAACCTGTTTGTCTGAGCGACTGGCTGAACAAGAAGTAGGACTGAGTGGACTTGCTGGATCATATTAAAGAAGTTCTGTATTAAAATCACAAATGAGTTTGATTCCCCATAGTTTAAATTCCAGGGTATTCCTAATTAAGAGGGAGCTCTCTTGGTTTTTGGACTCAAAGCGATACTTTGTAACAACAGAAACAGCACACAGAGACTCCCCACCCTTTTGTTGTATTTATCTCGCTTTGTTAACAATTGTGATTAAAATAGAGATAGAGGATGTATGTGGAGCCCAGTTCTTAGTGATTTCAGCGGGTGGTGGAGAACCTCCCTACTGCTGCTGCCTCCTTTACAGTGTCTTTCACCAGCACACTGTCCCCTCACGGGACCAAAGACTCAACCCCCTAGACCAGTCTATTGGTGCATTCAGCCTTAGTAGTCACTAAGAAGAGACAAGGACTCTTAACTGAATCTAATCAGCTCTATCTTTACACTCTGGAGGGGAAGGTTCAAATAGCACCTCGGAACCTTAAAACAGAGCCCTCTCCTATCCCACCCCCTCTGACCTTCACTTAGATTTACTTTACTACCCCTCAGTTAGGTGACCCTTCAGTTAGGGCCTAGGAAGTACAGTTTAGTCATGCAGTAAGGGTAACTACATTTCCTTACCCCAGCATCCACGACTTAAGAGAATTTTAGCCCAAAACAACCAAACTTGATCACCTTGCTAAAGCAGATATGCCAATTGATCACTGTAGGCAGATTAGGTGTGTTTATGCAAATACTGTCTGCTTATGCAGTCTTTTCCCGCAGGTCAATAGACGACTGGAGAGAATTCATTCAGATCAATGGCCTACATACAGAGACGGTTAAATAAACTAGAGCAAGTGAGGCATACAGTGATATTAACCCTTTTTTCTGTCTTTCCAAATTTTCCATGAAGAACCATCTAATTAACCCAAAGGCAATCCTTACTCCAAGTTACCCAATAATTTCTATACATATCGGACTATAGATGGTCCATGAGCAACCTAGGTTTATTACATTTTTATTCATTAGGAGTCAATTTTTCTAAAGCGCTTAAGTGCTTTAGGAGGCTAATCCAGGAATAACTAGAACCGATAGCAAGAAGCTCAATCCACACAAATTAAAATTCAAAATTAGACACATTTTTTTTTTAACAGTGATGGTGATTCGGCATTGGAACAAACTACCAAGTATTGGGTTCTCTTTCTCTTGATATCTTCAGATCTAGACTGGAAGCCTTTCTGGAGGGTATGATTTCATCAAACATATGTTATTGGCAGGGCCGCCCGGGGATGGGGGCAAGCGGGGCAATTTGCCCCACACCCCCGGTCCTGCTGGGCCTCCACAAGCATTTTCAGGGGTCCCCATGGGAGTCTTCAGTAGCACTTCGGTGGCAGGGGCTCCTTCAGTGCCGCCGAACACACCCGGAGTGAAGGACCCGCCACCGCTTCTTCTGCTCTTGGTCTTCGGCGGCAATTCGGTGGTGGGGGTCCTTCCACTCCATGTCTTCTGCGAAGTGCCCCGAAGACCTGGAGTGGAAGGACCCCCACCGCCGAAGACTCCAGGCCCCCTGAATCCTCTGGGAGGCCCTGGTTATTGGACTTAATCCAGGGGTGACTGGGTGAAATTTAATTGCCTGTGAGACACAGAAGATCAGACTAGATGACCTATTGTCCCTTGTGGCCTTAAAAACTATGACCCATTTGATCTCCACACATCACCTGTAACAGAGAAAATATCTAAGAGAATGTTTATGTGTGTTTTAAGTTTCCCAACTAAATGAGGTTTTTCTGATGAATTGTTTGATGTAGCCATTTCTTGTGAAAATGTTGTAAATTGCTTGTTCACACATCAACGTCTGAAATGTGGTTTTACTGTGAATGATGACTATATAAAAAATGGAGCAACTTTACCCAAGACGTCTGCCCCTATCCGGTATCCATTCTACAGTTATCTTTGCTACCTGAAGTAATACAAGTGCAGTTGTCATCAATAGTGGGTTTATAGTGGTGCCATGGCACTGGGCCCACACTCAAAAGGGGCCCCAGCCAAGCCCGCTCCACTTGCGCTGCACTGCTTCTTCTGCTCTTGGTCTTCAGCGGCGGTGGTCCTCCCACTCCATGTCTTCGGCGAAGTGCCGAAGTGCCCTGAGAGGAAGGATCCCCACCACCGAAGACCCCAGGCCCCCTGAATCCTCTGGGAGGCCCTGGTTATTGGACTTAATCCAGGGGTGACTGGGTGAAATTTAATTGCCTGTGAGACACAGAAGATCAGACTAGATGACCTATTGTCCCTTGTGGCCTTAAAAACTATGACCCCATTTGACCTCCACACATCACCTGTAACAGAGAAAATATCTAAGAGAATGTTTATGTGTGTTTTAAGTTTCCCAACTAAATGAGGTTTTTCTGATGAATTGTTTGATGTAGCCATTTCTTGTGAAAATGTTGTAAATTGCTTGCTCACACATCAACGTCTGAAATGTGGTTTTACTGTGAATGATAACTATATAAAAAATGGAGCAACTTTACCCAAGACCTCTGCCCCTATCCGGTATCCATTCTACAGATATCTTTGCTACCTGAAGTAATACAAGTGCAATTGTCATCAGTAGCAGGTTTATAGTGGTGCCATGGCACCGGGCCCACACTCAAAAGGGGCCCCAGCCAAGCCTGCTCCACTTGCGCTGCACCCTGAGTCACTGGCTCCTCTCCATCCCCTCTTCGCCCCCACCACTCACTCCTCTCTACAGGGCTTCTCTTTGCCCCCTGGCTCCACTCACCGGCTCCTGCTCGCTCCTATTGACTGGTGGCCAGCCACCTGCCTGTCAGTGCCAGGGCGCAGAGGAGCTGTGCTGGATGGAATGTATATTCCTGTTATTGTGTTTTTCTGTAACTTAAGGTTTTTGCCTAGAAGGATTCTCTATGTTTTGAATCTGATTACCCTGTAAGGTATTTACCATCCTGATTTTACAGAGGTGATTCTTTTACCTTTTCTTTAATTAAAATTCTTCTTTTGGGAACCTGATTGATTTTTCATTGTTCCTAAGATCCAAGGGTTTGGGTGTGTGTTCACCTGTACAAATTGGTGAGGATTCTTATCAAGCCTTCCCCAGGAAAGTGGGTGTAGGGCTTGGTGAGATATTTTGGGGGAAGACGTCTCCAAGTGGGCTCTTTCCCTGTTCTTTGTTTAAATGCCTGGTGGTGGCAGCATACAGTTCAAGGACAAGGCAAAGTTTGCATTTTGGTGAAGTTTGTAACCTAAGCTGGTAAGAATAAACTTAGGGGATCCTTCAGGCAGGTTCCCACGTCTGTACCCTAGAGTTCAGAGTGGGGAAGGAACCTTGACGTGGTGGCAGAGCGGTGGGATCATTTTGAACCGGAGATCATTTTGAATCAGAGATTATTTTGAACCAGAAGCACAGAAGAATTTTAAAAGGTTTTCTAAAAGGTGATTGCAGCTGTAGATTCTGTCTCTCTGCCTGGGGGACAGAGAAGCAGGCATAACAAAAGGATTTTTCTGTAGGCTGAGAACAGCTATCAGAGAAAAAGGTATCAGGTTACAGCACAGCAAAATTTTACAAGCCAGTTTTTTTTGTTTGTTTTGTTTTCTTTCTAACTCTCGGGTGTAAAGTTAGTTAAAAACAGAGAGGTTAGGATGACAGACTGCACTGTTCAACAGAAGCTGGAATTAGTCAGATTTGAAGCTGAGGAAAAACAAAAGGTACATGAAAGATGGGTAGAACTCAGACAGATGGAAATGGAGGCAAAAGAAAAAGAAATGGCAGCCAAAGAAAAGGAAAGGGAGGCTGCCCACAGGAGAGGAATGGAAGCAAAAGAAAAAGAAATTGAGGCTGCCCACAGGAGAGAAATGGAGGCAAAGGAAAAAGAGAAGAAGCATGCACTGGAGATGGAGAAGGCAAAGGCTCAGCAGAATATACCAAATAACCCTAACAATCCTTCCCCAACAATCCACAAATGGGAGCAACTATGTCCACAGTATGATGAATCCAGTGATATTGCTGATATTTTCTCACCTTTGAGAGACTGTGCACACTCCATCAAATTCCTGAAGATCACAAGATGACCACGTTGGTCGCAAAATTGACTGGAAGAGCTCTGGACATATTCAATAAGATGCCTATTGAGGAGGCTTCTGACTATAATAAATTCAAGGATTTGGTTTTAAAACAATTTCAAGTTACACCTGAAACTTACAGAGTAAAATTTAGAGCCCTTAAGAGAGGACCTGGACTAAGCAATGTGGCTTATGTAAACCAGATGACAGATCTGTTTGATAAATGGCTCAATGGACGGGCTGTAACTAACTTTGGAGGAATGTGGGATTTGATGATACAGGAGCAATTCCTGAATATGTCCAAGGAGGATATAAAACAGTGTGAGAGGGTGGGGGCAGTGCTGGGCAGTGGGGGAATTTTGTATGTTTGGGGATACTAGGCAGTGAGGGGGTTTGCTGGGGGGGGCATTGGGCCAGTGGGGGGTCTGTGTGGAGTGCTGTGTAGCTGTGGTGGTGGGGCTGTGGGGAAGGGCACTGGGTAGTGGGTAGTAGTGGAGATCTGTGTGTGTTGGGGTGCTAGGGAATGGATTGTTTTATGTGGGGTGTTGGGCAGTTGTGGGGGTATGAGGGGCGCACTGGTCAGGGTGGTGGTGTGCAGGGCACTGTGCATTTGTGGTGAGAGGTCTGGAGGGGCGCTGGGCATAGCAGGTGTCAGGGGCACTGGCATAGAAGTCAGGGGGCATAGGAAGGGGAGGCTGTGTGGCGTGGCATGGGCCCACCCCTGAGGGGAAGGGGCATGCTCGCAGCACAGAGCCAGGTGGGCCAGTGCGTGTCTGGCAATTGCCGGTTTGTAAACATTGCCCTTGCACTAGGCTGGGTGAAGTGGAGCTGCCCCCGCCGTACCATGCCCTATTGCCTCTGGCCGGCCCCTCGCTCCGGGGACTGTCCTCCCCCACGCCATGCTCTAATGCCTCATGGGGGCCCACAAATATGTTTGGTATTGGGCCCACAAAAGGTTAATCCGGTCCTGATTGTCATTACTGTTTGTCCTGCAGTGCCAAGAGAGGACTTGTGGCATAAGCCCCGCACCTGATAGGAGAGAATATTGGAGTACAGGCAAATCGCATTAAGGGTTTTGTTTTGTATTCCTCTAAATCATAATCTTAAGTTTTTTTAAACATTCGCCCCTCCCCCCCAAAGAAGGAGAGAACAGCAAAAAGAACAAAGAGAACAAAAAAGTAAAGGAGTGGGACGGAGTTAATCAAAGGTTTCTAAAAAGTTACACCAAATCTTTTCAAATTTGTTTGAGGTCCCTCTTCTGGGAAATGTTACTTGTTCTCTGAGTACATTTTCAAAACCTCAAGAAGAGCTCTGAGTTAGCTCGAAAACTTGTCTCTCTCACTCACAGAAGTTGGTCCCACAAACATATTACCTCACCCACCCTGTCTCACCTGTTCTCTAGGTCAGCCAAGCTGAGCCCAGCTTTATCTCCTATTCCCTCTAAGCAATATAAGTTGTTTGGCTACAAGCTCTGCTCTAGAGGACCAAGCTTTCCGTGAGTTGGAGAGTTTCCCAAATGATGGGATAGATCCCAAAACACAGTTCTGGGAAGTAATTTTTAAGGAAGTATCCATTATCATTTTAATCCTGCTGCCTACTTCAAGCCAAAAGGATTGTATCTTTGGACAGTCCCAAAACAGGTGAGCCAGTGTGGCTCCATATTTCCAGCAGCAGTCTGTTTTGTAGGATGATAGGGAGCCAAGAGCCTGGAAGTCCAGGAAGCCCTGATTCCCGAGCTCACGGCTCCTCAGTGGCCCAGGCTTACAGACTCCAGCTCCTCAGCATCCCACCACGCAGGCTTGCCTGGAGCCAGGGAAAGCATGGTGTCCCAAAACAAGGCTCCGTTCCCTTTCATGGAGAATTTTGAAATGGGGGGGAGGAGGGAGACGGGGTGGGGGCTATTTATGCTGAATCAGAACACCACCAAGTTGTGAAATATCAGAATCCTCTGCCAGACAGAATTACCATTCTCCACCTAGCTCCAGAAACTGGAGGAAGTTTCATGCAGGGTGGATGGGATGGGAGAAGTTTGCTAAGAGTAGAGCAAGTTATGAGGCTTGTTCCAAAGTGAAGAGTGCCAGCAAAAAAGGTGGTATCACAGTTATGGGGCAAACTGTACCTCTTTTCCAGTGCTGGTGTCTCTGAAAGCATCCACCTCATGTTCGGGTTTCTTGTTCTTCCTTGTCTTGGGGTGGAATCTCACGCATGAGCAATTCTTCCCCTCTTACAACAGGGGCAGATACACTACCCTGTGTGCAGAAATCACCAGTCACCCTGCAGGCTGTTGAGGATCCAAGGGGTAGGTTCACAAATAGTTTAGGCATCTAACTGCCACTTCAATAGGCTATATCTTTGATTTAGACACCACTGGTATTCACAAAACCCCTGCTCAGCTGCTACCGAATGCTGTCGGTGCCTAACCTCACTTGGCACCTAAGTTTTTGCAGTGAGAGTTCCCTATGTGCCTAAGTTTTAGCCTCTGCACTGCCTCACTTGAGCTCTCTGGATGCCTGAGCCACAGCGTGATTCACAAACTGGGGGAAGATAGGTGTTCCCTTTGCCTAACTCACCAGCAGGGCCTGATCCATTAGGGAAGCTCGGAGTATGCCTATCTCCGCACAAAATACCCGTGCAGGGGAGGGCGATGATCTCCCTTGCAACTTTCAGCCCAAAGGTTAGAGTACTCACCTGGGATGTGGGGGATCCCCAGTTTAAGTGCCTGTTCTGCCTGAGAGGGAGAAAAGATTTGAACAGGGCTAAGGGATATTCTGATGCGGGTCTCCCTCAGTCTCGCCTGTTGAAGGTGTTCCTCCATTACCTCTGCGGTTTGGACACTCACCTGTGAAAAGGCAGAGATCTGTTCATACCCCCTATCATCCAGCAGAGGGGGAACTTGAATGGAGGGTCTCCCACAGGCCAGGTGAGTACCCTAGCAATGGGGCTAAAAGTCATAAGGGAGGTCCTGCCCCCACCCCATTGGATTGTTGCAAGAAATGCCTTAGATGCCTAACTCCAGGAGAGGATTACACAGCTGCGAATTCCAAACAGAGGCAGGCACCACCCTCCAAACTCCAGTCAAACTCCCTCACAGAGGCGCTGGGGCGGGACTTAGGACACTCCCCTCTTCTGGGCAGCTACCACTGGCTATTTTAGGTGGGGAGCTGACTTTTGTGAATCCCATTCTTCAGGCCTATCTCCCCTCAACTTCCCCTAGCTCAGGCTTTCTGAATCCCAGTGATATGCTAGGTGCCTAGAGTTAGGTATTGTAATGCTGACGATGGCAATGCCCAAGTCCCTTTGTGAATCTAACCCCAGGAGACTGAGGGCCCAAGCTCCACAGCAGCCAACTAGGCAGACTGTTGAGGAACCATCCCCACTTCAAATGACAAGAGTTTTCTCTAAAAAGCAGCATAAGTTAAAAAAAATTGTCGACAGAAGTGATCATTCAAGGTATCATTTCATCACTTAGTCTGAACAACGTCAGGTGGCCACCAAGCTTCAATCCCGAAGGTATATCAGAAAATATTTCTTAATCAGGGGACTATGGTTTAAGGAGTCATTATGGCTCAACCCCACAAGCTACTCTATTCTGGTAAGCAGGGAGATTTCCAGACTGTGCTATGGCGCTTAACTGCAGCATTAACCTTCTGACTCCTTTGCAGATAAGAACTGAAAAATATTTTAGGACATCTTGTGGCTGGCCTTGGGAGAGAGGGACAAGCCACAGGAAGAATTCCCTCTATCTTGTGCCCCTGCACATGGGCTAGCCATAATCCCAGTCCTTGTGCTCAGTGACTCCCAAGGAGCAGAGAATATAACACTACAATGCTAAATTCTTCAAAGGGGGTAGGGACATCGACTTATCCCCATTCTGCAATGGCTCGCAAAGCTGGGCCAGTATGTAGGGAGTACATGTGCTTCCATTTTTAGCGGAAGTTGTGGCCCAATTATGGTGAATGATTGACCATCACCCCCAAGGTATTCTGGCAGGGTAGCCCCTCCCCCATCAACCAAAACACTTGTCCATGCTCTGGCTATTCTCACTGATTTATTTTCTTTCTACCTGGTCTCCTCAAATCTCACAGTACTATTCAAAACACAAATGATAAAATTAGCATCTTGACCATGTCAATTTTTTATCCTTGCTTTCAAGGCCCTACATAACCCACCTGGGCCTACAAAACCAATCTTAATTCTTATGGGCCCCTTGGTCCCCTTCTCTCTATCCTTGATGCCAGGCTTGCAATTCCTTTGGTTTCCTTCTCCCACTCTCATCTTTGTGACTTCTTCTAGGCTGTCCACTGGCATGGAATTACCCAGTGCCACCACATGCCCCTGGACACTAACCCACATTAAACAAAGGCTTTCACTACCCAAATATGACTTATGATTTTGATGTTACGGAAGAGTCAGCATTTCCTCAGAATGTCTGGATTTATACATCTGTCTGAACTCCTCCGAGTCAGGTACTGCCCTTAATTTTTGTCTTGTACAGCACTGAACACTTTCTTGCTGCCTAAGTGTAAATGACATCAGCACAAGGGGCTGAAAAAAGCACAAAATAGGCCTTGTCATCTTTCTGCTCCCCCACACATACACCCAGTTACTATTATTCACTTAACTGTGATCGTCTTTTTTTATTAAATGCATTCTGACTTAATTTTTCTTTTCTTAAGGAAAAATACACTAGAACTCAGAGTTCTCCACCTTAAACGAGCCTTTTAAACACAAAAGCAAATCAGAGATGGTGCCCAAATCAGAGATGGGAGAGGACTCTCAGGAGTCGATAGTTATGCCTGGGAGAAGCTCGGGAAAGATCTTGTTGGCACTGGACAGGCATAGCAGTTTTTGTTAATCTCGTTGGTAGAGAGCCCCCTGTATTAAGATCTTGTCACACAATCGACCAGCAGGGACACCTGCCCAGGTGTGGGGTCCAAACGGTCAGTTTATAGGGCAGGGTAAGGGCCCAGACCTGTACTCTGTGTGGCGAAATAGACAAGGGCTGGTTGGGAAAACATTGGTGACTACAAAAAGGTTTCTGGGTTTCCACCATTCTATGGTGGAATGGATGGATCGCCCCCGAGTGGGAACTAGCATGAAGTTTTAGCATCCAGCAAACATCAGAATATGGTGAGCTTGAAAGAAACTGAATATAGCTATTATTGTGAACATATAAAATGGACTCCAGCGAGGCTGTGAAGGACTACGCACATGAGTAAAGGCTTGCAAGATCAGGCCCTGAACTAGCCATTGTTCAACACATAAGCATTGGATACCAGATCCCCATGTGGTCACAAGCAGCACAGGTGTTTCTTCCTGTTAGTTTGATTTTATGTGCACACCTCTTTCTTTGATGGGCTATTTTAGAAAGGTGTGTGAGACATCATACTTTAAGGGGGGAAGTTATAGCAGTATAGGCTAAAGGGAAGGTAACTGAATGTCCTTAGCTGCTGAGTTATTAACTGAGACCATGTCTGAAACATGGAAACATCTGCAGGAATAACATGGATAAACAGAGACCACTTAAAGTGGGAGGGGGGCAGAGGGTTTTTCAGAATCATATACCTTGTGTACAACAATCAACAGAAGCCCCACTATAGCTGAATGTGGGAATAAGATGTTGACAGGATAGCCCTAACCACTGTCCCTGTTATTAAAGTGAAAACCTCTTCAGATGAGCACGTATTTTATTTTGGAGTAATACGGGAAATTGTCAAGTATCTATTTACAATACTTCTCTTACAGTGGGAGTACTATGGCTGGAATAGCCATTAAGACAATGGAAAGCTTGTACTAATTATAGGGAACCATTTGTTATACATTGCTTTTTTTTTTTCTTGGATCACTTTCTCCAGTATTTTAAATAGCTTCAATTTTGCTTCATTCGTACAATTGTTCTTAGAAGTTTAACATTATAGATTAAAAAGCCTACGTAGCTCAGCAGATTAGTCCTAACCAATTGTGGTGACAATTCTTATCAGATTGGAAGTCTTAAGTGAAATAAATTCGAGCATTTGCTTTGGGCTGCAATGGATGGTAATAGGCAGCATTTTATGTAAATCAGCACAGCTGCTAATCCTTCCTTTTTCTGAAAGTGGTGTCTTAGAGGGTGGATCCACGCTAGAAAAATGAGTATATGAATTACAGAACAGCAAGCAATGATGCAGCTGCCCCAGTGCTAAGCCACTATGGTCGATGCAGTTCAGACATTTATACCTATTTTCCAACATACGTTTTCAACAAATGAGCTTACTAGTGATTACTATGAATCTCCACTTCTGCTTCTTCTCCATAGTGGTATCAGCGAAGTGGCAACAAAGCTGCCTCATCCTTTCAAAGGCAATGTATTCATTTGAGGTCAAAATGTTGGATAAAAGTCAACCTCCACATGGTAAAGTAAAATAGGATGGGGATTACAGGGCATAGTGAGTTCAGGCAGCAGACTTTTGCCTCTATGGACACAGGCTCAAATCGAACGGCTCACAAGTGAAATGCATTTGGACACGAGCCTCCACTGAGCAAAATAAATGCCCAAACCGGTGGAGTCCAACCCCCAGTTTCTGATTAGTACAGGAGATGATGCGGAGAACGGGGTAGAGACGCTTGCATAGCATGTGCTTTCACTGCACAGGCCAAATTCTGTTCTACGCCAGTGAATTCAGGAGTGTAACTCAGGGCAGTCTTTGGGCCTATGAAACAAGTGCAGCCCTAGCATGGCCTTATATATTTACCTGAAGTCACTGTGCCAAATTCTGCCTTCAGATACGCAAATGCAATTTCCACTGGGCCAAATTCAGCACTGGGCCAGTTTTTTCATTGACTTCAATGGGAACAGATTAAGGGCCCTGGTATAAGCAGACAAAAGCTCACCAATTTAAATGGAAGTAGCCAGCATATATATGAGAGCAAAATTTAGGCTAGTGATATTACGCACTCACTTGTTTCAGCATTAAAATATTCCCTTTCCTAAAATGAAACCACAGAAGCAAAGTAAATTTGAGCACTAACCACGACTGCAAGCTATGCTGTTTCTGGTGCCTTTTGCTCGAACATCTAACCCAACGCTGCAGAGAGAGGCTACATTTTAAAACCATTCCCTTTTTGCATTTCTTCCTAATGGATGACTGTATTTGTCGAGAGAAAAGTATATTATTAGTCAGAAAAATAAAGCACAAATATTAGAAGTTACCTTTCCTTAGAAACATCTTCTTTCCCTCCCCCTCCCACCCCTCACATTTGGAGTACTCAATATTGAATCTATGCAGCAGATTACAACCATTTAAAGCTGAGCCTTTAAGTACCAAAGAGAAGAACACCTATTACACGAATGCAGTAATTCTTCTGGCCTGATCTGACACTCTTTAAGTCATTGCTTGTTCAAACAAAGCAATATGGCATATATTCTCTCTACTCTCTAGATATATACCTATATAGATATGTACACACCCCCATTACTCATACACACATAATAAGGAGAAAAAAGCCCTATCTGAACAAAATTATATAGGATGGACCTAGCTGAATAAGTCAGCTAGATCAGAGGAGAGGAATTATGTAATCTTTTCAATTGAGCACACAGCTATAATTACTTTATCAAGCTGCATTAATATTTCAGTGCATTTTTCAGATTACATGTATGCAGCATTATATTAAGTATTCATCTACGGATTAAACCATCTCAGCTTTTAACTGCATGTTTCTCTCTGCCTCTTTTTTCTCTAAAGGTATCGGAAATCATCTTACTGTACTGCTGGGGGGGGGGGAAGGGTAGAGAGAAGATATGAACGTGCTGAGTAGCTGAAACAGAGTAAAGACAAATGCACAGAGGTTATTTCACAAAGGGCCTAATTTGTAAAGGTCCTGAGCTGTCATTTCTCTCTTGCTGGACCGGAACAGCATCCCCTCTGCTGATATAACATTCATGCAGCCTAATTCTGATTATAATAGAAAGGAGAGGATGAAAAATAATACAGAGCGGGGGGAGGGAATAGTAATAAATGCCAAGAAAGGGATTGAAAAGGCAACATCAAGGAGGAATGGCGAGAGCTAGAGCAGCACTTACCCATAAACAGCCAGATGGAGCCACCAGACACTAGGAAGAAGGTGAGCATGCCTGCTGGATCTGGCTGCAGCATGGGCAGCCTGAAGACACTGAGTGTGTGTGTGTGTGGGGGGGGGGGTTGGGGGGAAGGAGGGGGAGGACTGCAGCACATTCACTGCAGTGACTGAGACAGTGGCACCAGCAGGGACTCGACCACTCCGCTTGCTCCAAGGCACAGCATGCTTGTCAATTACTTCCATCGCATAGGACGATATTTTTAGCAATCCCCCTTCCTCTGGGACCTCTAGCTTCTTCTTAAAGGGGGCAATATATCCCACTTGGGTAGGGCTCACTAATGTGCACATGAGCGATTTCCCCCTCCCCCCCTGGAAACCTAGCAGCCCAGGCAGCAAGGGGGAGTGGGAGGGGAAAGAGGGGATGGGAAGGGGGAAAAACTTTATTTGGTGGTTTAACCCGTGTCCAAAGAAATTGCCCAAATATGGTGCCCTGCAGCAGCAATGCACCAGAATGCTCCTAAAGGCCCCAATTGTCAGAGCTGCTGAGCAGTTAAACTCCACCTGAAGCCAATGGGAGCCGTAGGCACTCAGCGCCTCTGGAAATGTTCAGGTCTTCATATACGGCGAAGGACTATGCAAGAGAACAGAGAGCCAAGTTGGTCTTTATGGTGTGTGGTGCACATTTGGACAAAGCATATTGTGGGTGTAAGTTATTCCATCCTTTCCTGAACGTGCTGGTCTCAGAAAATTAATCTCTCAGCTGCTGGATATGAGAAGGGCTTTGCAGAAAGAGCAGAGGCACAGAGCATTCTAGGGCTGGCCAGTGGTGAAGTCACATGTGCTGTTCCTTTGCCAGTCAAAGTGTGGGAGTTGGTAGCCGTGACAATAAAATAAAATGTCTTGGTTAGACTGGGGGTTTCAACATTTGATGGAGATGCATTAGGGCAAACCTGTATAGCAGACAGGCTAAACTGCGATAAGCTGTGATTTGTACTAGTGCAGTTTATCCCTCCTGGAAACCAGGGTAAACTGCACTGGTGCACATCATGTCTTTTACAGCTTTGCCTGTCTACATTAGGGACCAGCACCAGTGCAGCTATGCCAGCTGTAACTGGTGCAGAATTCCCAATGTAGAGAAAGGCCCATGTTTTTCTTTACAGTAGAAGGAATGAGAGTGGTGGGAGCTTTCCAGCAAGAGAAACGGATTCTCCTTAGGTAATTCTTGCACTTCTAAAATTGTGATAGTGTAGCACTGTTATTGGGTTTTCAGAACTGGAGGATGGGGTGCTCAGATCAAGCTGGTTTGACCCATCAGCACAGTTACTCCACAGTGCTAGCATGCAAACTGCTCCCTGCTCTCCAGACTCAGTGCAGGGAGCGGGTACCCAGGCTGCTGGGGAAGCATCTCAGCCACCGGGAGATCTGGAGTAGAGCTGTGAGGGAACCGGATTTTTCATTGGGGGGGGGGGAGTTTCACAACTTTGAAATGCCTTTCATTCCAAAATGAAAAAATAATTTAGTAATTTCCTATAAACATTTAAATTCTGTTAAAATCTTTGTTTGGGGCAGATTGAAACATTTTGTTTGATAAGATCAAAACATTTTGTTCCAATTTTGACTTATACATTTTTTTATATTTTATTCTCTAAAATTAAAAAATGAAACCGACATTCTGAATGGGAAAATCAAAACTCTTCTTCAATTTCTTGTTCTAACCAAATTTTTGTTGAATGTGATATATCCACGAAATGGCACCACCTCTCCCTAGTTATCTCTGTAAAGGCTTTATCACCTTGACCCAGGGGTTGGAAAATATTTTCTATGACAGGACATGGCTCAACACAAAGTGACTCAGCACTTCCCTACATTTCAAAGTCAATGCTGTCTCCCACTTTCACACCCATCGAGATCTCATCACCTCACCTTCCGTTTCATTACAAAAAGATTAAAATCCTTCACATCTCTGAGTCAGTCAGATCCATCACTCATCTCTGGAACAAATGCAACCTACCTGCTAGTATCAAATATAACTACCTGGAAAGCTACTTCTATTTTCAAATTGTGCTCATCACCAGGATATCTAAACTGCTCCAACCTCCTATCAGTCTAAATGAGTGGACTCTGCACCTCCCCCCTTTAAACTACCCACTGAAATGAGTAACAGACCACATGATTTTCATGTTGTCTCCTGAAAAACTAACTTTCCACCCTGTTGACTGTAAAGAGAAAAAACCTCACAAGCTTGGTGTTCAGCCCCTCCCTCTGACAGCTGGGTGTGCTGTCTCTGTGGGATTCTCCCCTCTCGGTCTCCCAAGGAGCTACTTTGCTAGCCTCTCCCTTGCATGCCACTACAAGACCAGGGGGAATCTAAGCGGGGAACTGCTAAACTGTGCACATGGGGGACAGGCATTGTCTTCCATATGCTACTCCTTCCCTCAAATTCTCCTCCAGTCTGATCAATAACCAAATGCCAATTAGGGCAGACTGTGTCTGCACCAATCTCCTCTTTCACCCAACTTTCTAGCGATCTCCACCTATCACTTTTCTGTGCAGTTGATGTAAACTCTAACCCCTAACTTCTAATACTAGGTGACATCTCATCAGTTGAGTCCTATAGGTGACTGGCAATATTACACTGTGTATTCCTTTAAACTACCAGCACTGCCAGACCAAACATGAGGCACAAAATACATTAAAATAGCCTTCCATGTTATCGCTTAGTCTCACCAAATAATCTCCTTGATGGGAGCTGGGTGCCTAGCTCCATTAGGTACTTTTGAAAAATCTACCCATTATTAAATTAACCTGAGTCCTACATGATATCCCATCTTTTGGGGGCGAACTGCTGAGTTCCCAAACTACAAGTTCCCATCACTGCTTACTCTAGTTTGCAGTTAGCAGACTGCATAGCATAACTTAAATCACTCCCAACATTTTGAATCAGAAGTCCAGGGAAGTCATCCGATATGCAACATTTAAAACATGGGTAGATTTTGATAAGCCATCAAGTCAGGAGAAAAAACAGTCCTTATCCAAGTGAACAATGATTAAAATGGGTTTAATGATTGTGGAAACCTCAGTTTAACAGAGGGCTACTTAATTGCTAAGACTCACAGAGAGTTATGATCATGCAGCATTTGTATGCGGGTAGAACCTCAATTTTGCTAGTATGATGCAGATTATGGAGAAATCTCATTTACCTAATATTTTGTTTCAAAGACACATTTAAAAAAAGAGGAACTGCAGCTTTAGGCACAATTTGCTGTTTTATACTTTCTAAACTTGTCTGCGGTAAGTTTATGGGAAACTTGCTGAAATACACCCAAGAAAAGGTTTTTCCATAACATTCTGAGAACTTTATTAAAGTGAGATTTGGAGAACTACAGTTGATTAAAATTAATGCATATTCAGTCCGCTGCTATGATGCAGAAAATGTACCTGAGGAGCTATAATTTACCTTCCATTGGGCACCTCAGTTCTCTTCCACTCTCAGATCAGCTGTGCTGTACATTTAAAATTCTTATCTTACACTGGCTGTGATGATTCACAAATTCTAAGGCCAGAAAAGACGACTGTGATAATCTAGTCTGAGACCCTGCATAACATAGGTCAGAGAACGTCCCCAAAATAATGTCTGTTTGAACTAGAGAATATCATGTAGAAAAATATCCAGTCTTGATTTAAAAATGTGTAATGATGGAGAATACATCACTACCCTTGGTAAATTTTTCCTGTGGTTAATTAAACATCACTGTTAAAAATGTGTGCCTTACTTTCAGTCTGAATTTGTTTAACTTCGATTTCCAGTCACTGGATCTTGTTATACGTTTGCCTGCTGGACTGAAGAGCCCATTAGCAAATTTTGTTCCCCATATAGGTATACAAACTGTGATCAAATCATCCCTAAACCATATCTAGTGAAGCTAAACAGATTGAGGTCCTTGAGTACATTGCTATAAGGCATGTTTTCCAATCCTTTAATTATTCTCATAGCTTTTCTCTGAACCCTCTCCAATTTATCAACATCCTTCTTGAATTGTGGACATCAGAACTGGACACAGTATTCCAGGAGTGGTCACACCAATGCTAAATACAGAGCTAATATAATCTCTCTACTCCTACTCAGAATTCCCCTGTTCATACATCCAAGAAGAGCATTAGTCCTTTCAGCCATGGCATCACATTGGGAACTCATGTTTTCAGTTGATTATTCACCATGACCCCCAAATCTTTTTCAGAGTCACTGCTTCCCAAGATAGAATCCCCCATCCTGTAGGTATGGCATACATTCTTTAGTCCTAGATGTATAACTTTACATCTGGGCATATTAAAAGGCACATTGTTTGCTTGTGCCCATCTTACCAAGAGAACTAAATAACTCTGTACCAGTGATCTGTCCTCTTCATTATTTACTACTTCCTCAATCTTTGCGTCATCTGCAAAATTTATCAGTGACGATTTGGTGTTTCCTTCCAGGACATTGTTAAAACATGAAATAGCATAAGGCCAAGAACTGATCCTTTTGGGACCCCACTAGAAACACACGTGCTCCGTGATAAATACTTTGTACTACCATGGTACTTTCTGTCTGATGATTTCAAAGTGCTTCACAAACAATAAAAAATAAAGCCTTCCAAAATTACAGTAAGGTAAGTAAATAATATTTTCCTCAGATACAGATGGGGAAACCTGAGATTAAGTAATCTGTTCAAGATTCCTCAGGAGCCCAATGGCAGAGTTGTGAAAAGGACCTCGATCTCCTGGTCTTTGGTCTTGGGATGTGAACACTAAACCACCCTTCCATTATTCACTGGACAGAAGAGTAGCAATGTTTGCGATTTCTTGCTTGACTTCTTGAGTGTCTCGGGTAGGATGGCAGGGAATTAGTAGAAGTGTCTTTTTTTAAACCAAAAAGAGAGGTCTAATGGGATCATCCCCCTACAGGGGGGAAGATTCCTTCTAATAGCCTACTTCATTCTTCCATTTCTTACCACTGTCCTTGCTCCTTCTTCTGGCCATATCTGAAATTCTATATAGGGGTAGTGTATGTAGGTGAGATTTACTGGATGGGTAAGTATACAGAAGACCAAACCAAG